GGGGGGATTTGGGTGGCATCCCTCCTTTTACTTCCGAGGGTGAGAGGCCACGCCACGCCACGTTAGTGATGATTGACCAAGCAGTATTTTTCCGCTAAATCTCGACGATTTACTAAATGATGGCACAAGGCGTCATACAAGACTTGGAAAGTTGCATCTGAGCCTTTAGCTGCTTTCCATTTCAACAACATTTTGTAAGCCTTTTCAGACAGCTTCTTATTCTCTTCATCAATAGCATACAGCTCTGCTTCATTATTATCTAATAACCGTCGCCCAAGCTCCTTCCATTCCTCGACGATTTTCAACGCCAGTCTTTCAAGGTCTTCTTTTTCTGGTGCGCCATCTTCAACAACAACTGAAAGAACACAATATAATTCTAGTTTACATTTTTAGTCGGTCTGATTTGTACAGGCAGTTACAAAACAGTACTAAGAAAATACGTGCGCTGATTGGTTAAAAATCGCGTTTCTATAACTCGATGGAAACACAGAACTAGCTCGAGCTTTCGACGATATGATTGCCCGGGCAAAGAGAATTTACATTTTGATAATCAAAGTTAACAAGTTGTTTTCCTTTTTTTTCGCCGCGGTGTTTTCTAAAAGAAGTAGAAAACATGTTCCCCGTGTTTCTATCGAGTTATAGAAACACTCGTGAAAGTTTGGGAGAACTCGAAAAAGCTGTGGAGACACTCGCCTGCGGCTCGTGTTCCCACAGCATTTCTCGTTCTCCCAAACTTCCACTCGTGTTTCTATAACTCGATATAAACACGGTACATGTTTTCTATTTCTTAATTAATAAAGGGTCGAGGGCAGTAGAGATATCAGTTTGGCTGAGATAGTTGCTGCTGAGAATAAAGCTGTTGCTGCCGCTCAAAGTGTGAAAGAACATGGTTCTTTAGTTAAGTTCTCATTGTTCGAAACATTACCTCCAAGATGCTGTGTGGTGAGTTTGATACGCTTGGGGCTGATACGTGGAGGTTCTGTCCTTCGCTTTACAGAAGACTCTAAAATAGAAAAGAGAAATTAATTATTATTATAGTCCAACGTGAAGATAAAAGCTGTAGGGAAAAGTATCTCGCACATGTGAACCAACTTTTCATAATGACACTCAAACTGTGGACTTTCAAATTCCCTGCCAGACCCTAATTTGTATGAGTAAGCGATACTAACCTATAAAAGTCGAATTTGCACAGTAATAAAACTTGCTGTGTAATTCCATCTCAGGCCCTAGACTTTCGGTTGTAGTTTCCTGTTTAATTTTTCTCAGGAAAACTTTAAAGGACTGACAGAGCTAGCGCCAAGATAATTTCTAATTTACACCCTAGAGCTCCAGAAATGAATAGTATATGGTCGCCAAATGTGGCATCATGGTCCAAGGCGTTCCTAACGTAGAGCGTGGAAATTGATGATGAGAATGCGGCTGCTTCGTTTGTCATGTGCTTGCTCTTCGTTAACAACTTAACTTACTGCGGAATGCTGTGTTTTGTAAAGAAAGTTTTGGAAAGAATCGAAGAAGGTGTCGATCGTTTTCTGAACGGGTCGGCCAACGAATTATATCGATTGAAAGCCGGCAAATAAGCTAAGTTCATGCTTCGCTCTCACGAGATAGCAAATGAGCAATACACGACTGAATTCAAACTACGAAAACACTAGCAAAATGCTATGATGATAGTCTGCTGACTAGAGACGATGCCGAGACGAACAACTCAGAAGTTGAGAAAAATAATCAAGAATCGTAGTAAGCAGAACTTCGAAGATGAGGTAAATAACGTGCAATTGGAAAGAGAGGATACTCAACGAAGCAACTTGAATAGAAAATATCTAAGCTTAACTCTCTCCTCGGAATATCCGGGTTTTTTCAAAATTTTTTAATTGCTTTTATTGTGTTGAATAAGCTTACTTGTAAAGTATGATTTGATATTGCGACACGAAGCCAGACTTAATGCTCTTAGAGCGTCTATTTTCAGTTTCGGATATTTCATTATTTCATGGAAACACTATCTCGAGTGTTCCAAGTATCTTCTCAGTCGAAATGAAATAAAATCTTTATTAAGATGAGATATGCAAACACCTTCACGGGTATCCGTTTTCTTAGCTTAAACTTGACGAATTATTAGTGAGGTTTAGAATATATTTTCTTTCAGTTAGGCGTCGAACTATAAGCATCCCGAATCAGAATTTCAAAGATTACCTGCTATTAAAATTTATGTTACTCTATCAAGTTAGGTTTTACCATTTCTCTGTTCAAGACCAGCTGGACTATCTAACAGTACTTCATCCCTGACAGGAACGCGAGGGAACTCCATCGGGGGCGCCTATTGAGGGAAATACAACAAAAGAAACATCAGCAGCAAGAAGGCTTCAAAATACTAGGTACCAAACAAGAAGAAGTGGTGCTGCTTCTAATGGTTGCATTACCTTGTAGTTCGCATAGCCATGCCAAATACCAGTTCGACAACAACAACAAAAACATTGCACATAATTCAGCCTTTTTGTTGAATTTAGTGGATAACATGAATACATGAAGTCGAATAAGAAAGGACAAAAAGGACCTGTACTGGAGATCTTGGAATAATGAACAGTGTACATAGGCTTCGCCTTCTGTCCTGGCTGTCCTGCGATTTGAAGAAGTCTACTTGCAGATTACCAGGGTCACGAATGGTAACAGGCCAACTTTTCTCAAATGGTGCATTTCCAAGAAACCTTAAACGAAGAAAGAAAACAACAAAGAACCTGTTAGCCTACAAAAACGTTTGACCACCACTACAGCTGTGAGGAGTTCAATTATTTTTACTCACTGATGATTTTCCTTAAAAGGGCCTATGAAGTGAAAATTATCTTTAAATATTTAATATTTATAAAATGTATCAATTAAACTACACGATAACAAGTTTGAGACTTTTAGGGTGGAAATTGATCATTTCGCAAGCTATCAAAATAGTGCATTTAGCCGCTAACAAAGTCAGAGGAATGGGTCGAGTTAAGTGTAAAATACTGTGGAGTGACGTCATTTTGTTGCCAATAGACTGTTTTAATTACGAACACGGTTCTTATTGTGCGAAGGTAGTTTTCAATGGTAGAAAACAAATAACTGGCAGTTTAACTTATGCCTGTTTCGGTAACACCCACAGTTCACTGTTAGGTGAGTTCTACGTCAATTTGTTCTTCTCTGAATTTTCTCCTCCTAGGATTGCAACTCCAAATTGCTTGTGTTTGCTTGTTCTAATTTGTGAACGCCATAATAGGGGAAAATGGCACAACTTTGAGGGCGTGAAAAATCGTCAATTTTCACTCTAAAAGTTTCAAACATTTCAACTGGTAAATTTTACAACTAAGTAAAATATTTTTCGCTTCACATGCACTTTTCCGGTGGCTATGAAAGTAAGCTTCAAGGCTGTCCAATCAATCATTAACAAGAAAATTTACTTGCCAGAAAGGCATATTCGAACAGTCGCAGGACCGTAAACGGTCCTCTACAAAAGCCTTTCCTTTACTGGTTAGGAATTTTGCCACAGAAATGCCGAGAGCTATATTCGCTCCTGAGTATTACTGCACTTACCATCTCTCTTGTATTAGCTACAAGAAGAGGCCTACCATGAATTGGTGGTAGGGCGTCTAAAGGATAGAAAGATAATGCGAGAAGCGCTATATTATACCACCAAGATTAAACATAGGTAATAACAGTCACCTACAGCAAGTAAAGGTCTTCTGTGTTTCCACTCTGCTGAAGCGAAAATGCCTCAGAAAAGGATACGAACGCCTGATCTTTGGTACAAAGCGGCTCCTCTGATGATCCCTCCCCTTGAAAATTCACAAGGTATGTTGACGATATATGGCTATTCACTTGATATTTCAAGTGAATTGGGAAACAGCTCAGAGTCAGCAGATAGTTGGTGGGTCTCACATCATCGCACAGGCATGCTAAAAACCCTGCTTGTTGTCCCATGGCTCTTTTGAGTAAGTCACCAACAAATTGCCATACGCTGCTAAAGGGCTTCTTAATCTTTAACCAACATGGCCAAATCCTGAGAAAAATAGTACATAATCATGCACATTATAGGAGGTCAATCCAGCAAGGAGACTGAAAATTTACCTTTCCTTAAGCTTAAGCGAAATGTTTTATTACAGCTCTCTGATTATATGGCTATTCTAGACAAACCCGGGCGTGAGGTCATTTAATGCAGAGCCAACTTGTTACCGGAAAGGTTTTGTTATTTATGAATTTCAAGTTTTCTCAGACAACCCAATGTCCCATGAACATCTAGTGAATAAACATATTAGAAGTACGTATCCTACAGGACGTCCAGAAAATACATGCGAAGGTTTTACCTCCAACCATACACAATACATCCGACCAACAGTGGGTCGGTTCGACTCGAGTGTATAATCTGGGGGCCTATATGTTGTTGGCAAAGAAAGGAACAGCTTTCTCATTCCAACCTAAAGCCCTGGCCAAACGGAGTCGCAAGTAGACCCAAGTTTTCAACTTGGGTCTACTTGCAACTCCGTTTGGCCATGCCTTGCGTGCACTTGCGTTGAATTGCGATGGCTTGTGCTCACTTTGGTCGAGATCAAATTTGCACGCAAGTCGACGCAAGTTTTTCACCGTTTGGCCACCCAACCCAAGTCAACGCAAGTTGAGTGACGTCCATTAACCTATTATTAGCCAATGAAATACAGGATATGTCTGCCTTGAAATGGGTTTTTTACGACCTGCGTGTACTTGCGAGGAAACTTGCGAGTCCGTTTGGCCACCCAACGCAACTCTCTACGCAAGTTCAACTTGTGGCTACTTGCGACTACTTGCGGGTCCGTTTAACCAGGGCTTAAAGCTTAAGCTTATTTTTAATTTCGTCGTTGTCAGTTCGTCTCCCTCCTTTGACTTTATTATTGCTTATTTGATGCTCTTTTACCTTAGCAGCAAACTATTATTTTACCCTTTTAAACAGACACGAATAAAATGTACAACTCAAGGCAATTTAAGTTTCTTGTACTTCAAGACAGATTACAGAGAAAGAAACAGCCCTTTACTTACCGACAGAAATGCTTGACTTGGAATGTCACTATCCCATCCCGAAGAACTGGCGGCATCACCAGCTGATCCGTACTTTCAGTCCATTCTTGTAATTGTTCTCTTGAATTGTGCAATATCCTCCACTGACCAAGAAGTAGGTTTTCCAAATCCCCCCTACCTTGAAAGAATGTAAGAGGGATCGTGATTTTTGCTGGTTCCAAAAGTTCAACATTGTGAGAAGATGATATGTGAAGGACTGGACCAACCAACATTCCTTCTCTGTTAGGACCGACGCTTGGGAGTTCTTGGACCTTGAGACCAGAAGCAAAACGAAATCATTAAAAATTCGTGCTCAATGCTTGTTTGACTGCGGTTTAATTAACTTATCTTTCTAGCCAAAAATTTGTTTTCGCTTTCGGTTTTGGAATTTCCCGCGGAATTTGCTGCCTTCTCCTTAATTCAGTCGCTTTTTTGAAGATTTATAAGCTCTTTTAGTTAAATCTTTTGGATGAAACTCTACGTATCATAGTAAATGGTGACATTCAGTGACACTTTGTAGTTTTTTGAATGGCATTGGCCATGTTTCATTGTCCTTCCGCGGAAGAAAAAAACCCACGTATGCTGTTTTGAGTCATTTAAAATGCAATGGCTTGTAACCGAGATTTGATAATTGAGATTATCTGACGTGAGAATACTTCTACGTTTTAGGCTCCTTTCAGTGATACTTAGGCAATAGCTCTAGGGCTCTATTTGAAAAGACATAATGAACTAGCGAGTTGAATAACCACTGAACTAATAACCGCACGCAAGATACAACCAAACTAGTCACTGGGGTATCCCAACAGGGCGACTTCATTCAGCTAAGCTTGAATTTTTCTCAGGTTTGGACGTCCCTGTGAATAGGTTGTTCTCCAGCAAGGCAGATAAAAACCAAAGATCACTCACGATTATCGGAGTTGAAGTGTGTGTTTGAATGCACAGACACTACTTTGTTCGATCGGTATATACTAAATTGCCAAAAAAATGAGGCCATATATTGTTGCTATAAATATGTGTACCTTAAGTGTCAAACAGAAGTCTTCTTTGGCAGGCACAGAATTCCAAGGGATTGAAACACTGACATCTGGATAGTCTGGCACGGTACAAGTAAATTCAGGAGTGACAGTCTTGGGCTTCCGGAAAATGAAAGATTTGAGGCGCCAGATTGCGGCAAAAGAGGAATAACGCGTTATTGAGCATGCAGCCTCAGCAAATGGGAAAAGCCAGTTGGGAACGGTAGATTTAGCTGCAACACAAGTATATTATAATTATAATTACTTTTATATCACATTATTATATTGTAACTATATTCTATAATCATATTAGTAGATATAGGATCTCCTGGCCTTTATGAGGTGTTTTAGAGCGAGCATTTTAAACTGATTGTCCAAACAATAGTAACTATTCATTTACAGAAAATGAAAAAAAAAAAAAAAAAAAAAAAATAGATTTTCTTCATCTTTGCCATAATGTCTATGTAAATGTATGCACAAAGGTCAAAGAGAGATTGAAGCTAGAGTGAAACGTTGCAGCTTGGCAACTGTGTTAAAACCTGTTACGCAGGACGTTCGAGTGGTCCACTACACTACGTGTTATTATGGAAGTAAACATGTGAAAGATAATTTAGTTCAGCTGCGAAACTGAAGATTGAGAAACTGCGAAAATATCACCAGAAATAATATTCAGGTTTGAACAAGATCCGAACCCGTGACCTTGCGATACCAGTGCAAGGCTCTAGCAACTGAACTATCAATATGTAACTAACCGTCACGTCACTTTTGAGAATAAAATCCCAAGGTAAAACAATTCAAATGGATGAGAGAGTAATGAGACTATTCAAATATAGATTATTATACAAGTACATTTCATTTATGCTCTCAGTTCAAATCTTTAGCTGTCCAAGGTGTTCCTCAATTTTAGTTTTTTTGACCATACCAATTTACCTAACGTTTGTTCTAATGCAATACCTGATGTATGCCAAAAGGTGTTGGTCACCAAATCTATCCACTCATTGTTTTCTGGGTCAACCAACTGCTTGATAACAACTTCATACCCCCTGAAATTAGAGGCACTGTGCATCATGGCAACAGTAACGCTTCCTTGGGAATCTCCACTGAGTTCCAGGACAGGTGGACCGTCATGTGACAGTTCAATCACGTTGCTTACCAAGACCTCATTACTACCAAGAGGTGGAGATAGGGCCCTGGGATTCCATAACGAACAAGTAATCAGCAAGGGTTTTGTTATGGCTCCTGGACAAAATGTAACCAATGCAGCAGCTTCCTGAAGGTTCCAGGTATCACTTTCGTCAGGTACTCTGTATCTGAAAAATTTCATTGTTATTAAATGTGTAACTGCAGTGTTAAAAATTTATTACATCCACGCTGCTATGTTTGGTATGCTAATTGGCGAAAGCGCGAATGCTTTTGGTTAAGATCAACAGTGACTACCATCACAATTAATTTAAATCCAGCAAGTCCAGCAATTTTCACAAGAAAATGGATTTGGTGTTTTACCTCACTGCATATTTTTCATTTTTTGGTCAGATCTTGGCATTGCTTAGTTTCACTGCTGCCCAGTTTCCCGAGTCGGTTGATGTTTATGTAGAGATAGATGGTTTTCTCGTCACCTGCACCCGGAGTTAGTATTAAGTATATAATTTTTATTTGGCAGCCGAATTAAGGCCAACTCATAGGGCGCCGTTGTTGATATTGCGATATATAAAAACGCTCTAGCTGGTTTAGTGAAGAATTTTGAAAGGAAAGACACGCGCTGAGGTTAAGTGAAAACGGGAAAACGCGCACTATCTTAAATACTTAAGCTAAAATGAGTTAGATATAAAGCAATACTAACAACACGATTTCAAACATAACTTCAAACTACAAAAAGACCAACTTAAGGCTTAAAACAAAACTATTTTTAATTAAGCCACGATTCTCTTTGAAACGAAGTTTTCCTTCAATTTATAACTGTTACTTACTCGCGTATCTTTTTCTTGTCTGGTTCTTGTTCCTCCGGATTCTCTGGCTCCTCTAGCTCTTGCTCTTCAAATTCATACTGTGGCACCTGCTTCTTTGTGATATCTTCGTCGATATTAGTAATATCGTCGTCATCAGTGTCGCTGTCATTTTCGCGGTCCTCGACGTCTTTATCAGAATCGAAATCGTCTTCGCTAGATAGCTGTTCAGCTGATTTAATCAACGAAAGGAAAATTCATTTATTAAACATGTTAAGTAATACTGCCAATTAACCAAAAATTGGAAAGGCAATTAAGCTATCACTTAACTGGGTAGTTTCATGAATGAAGTACATGACGTAATGAGGACAATTAAGATTCACGTGCGGTTGTAAATAGCAGATTTGTGCATATTTTACGCTGGATTCAGGCTATTAATCTAGAGACGTGACAAACCAACTAAAAAATTCCTGATGGCCCGCCCATTTTCAGTTTCTTGTAGTTCTCTAAATGCGAATGAGCTACAGAACACCACAGAATTAAGCTATAATGATGGCGTGTAGTCAGTCAAAAACGTCTCAGTCAATAACGAAAGGGGTAGTGATAGCGATTTTTCGCGTTACTCTCTCTTTCGCTATCTAACCGCACTACGTATGGGCATTTTAAAGGTTACGAGGGACTATAATTTGGTTCTTGGGAAGTAATTTCTAAGGTGAGAAACGATCTTCGAACAAAACAATTCCTCTCTACTGTACTGTCAACGCAGAAGAAATGTCTTCTTTTTTTTAACCTGATGGTTTAATCAGACCCTTTATTGACACTTTCAAATTTAGACTGGTTTTCGTATCAAAGTTGGCGATTTTTGCGGGCAGGTTAACTTGAGCCATGTGTACCGAATTTCTGTCAAAGCCATTTTCTTTGCTTTCAAAGCGAATGACAGCTGTTCATGAGCTTAAAAGTGTCTCATCTGGGACCTGTTTTCACACTTTTTCAATCTCAATCAAGCAATATTCACATCAGCGCTGATTAACGGACATTTGTCACAGTAAGTACTACTGAACTCGTAAAAGGCTGATATAGAATACCTGCTGATCCGGATGGAGGAAGGAATGACAAGGAGCTCTCCAGTGATCCACTCTGCTTGGCTTCCTAAATGCATAAAAAAGAGATATTAAAACAGAGAAAATTTATCATGCAAACGTCTGTTTAAGCCTGGTGGAGTCCTCACCTATCAAAATTAGACAGGCCTAAGGTGAATATTTTGATGACAAGGCTTTCCATTCCCAGACAGAAAGTAATCTTGTACTTTCAAAGGAGACAGAATTTTAACTGTTTAATGATTCATTGTTATCTTGCATGCGCTGCCTGCGTCCAGAGGCCAAACAGGCTCCAGCTATTTAATTATTCAAGTTTGTCTCCAGTGCGCAGACTCGTGTATTCGGTTACTTAGAAGCAAATCATTCAGTAAATCCGTTGGTCGGTCAGTTAATCAATCAATCAATCAATCAATCAATCAATCAATCAATCAATCAATCAATCAATCAAGCAAGCAAGCAAGCAAGTAATCAATCAATCAATCAATCAGTCAGTCAGTCAATTTTTTATTTATGCACGTTGCGCCTCGGAGCTGGAGCGAAAACGGTTAAGAAGGCCATAAACAAGGATCTAAGAGAAGTGTGCACCTCAAGTGTGAATTGAAACTTGGTTTTACAAAGGTGACTGTGTATACCCATGAGAGGCACAATCCCTTATAGACATGTCATACAGTTTGCCATATGCCGGGTTGTCATGTCATTGTCAGTTCTAATAGCCTCCAGCAGTTTATTCCACGCCTAAGGGTTATGAGGGTCTCCCCGATATGCAACATACTTCTACGGATAGATTTCCTCTCATGAAGTTCCATATACGCAAACTTTTTTTTGTGACAACCCTTATAAGTGGCATGTCCCGGGGGGGGGAGATGGGATATTTTGTTTCCAGTGTGTTTGATTTTCATTGTGAGATAGGCCCATCGAAAATCAGTCTATAACTCTTAACTAATTAAAAGGATAATGAACCATTTCATACCTTTAACAAGGCCCAGTACTTCTCTACCCTTTTCTTGTCTCCAAGCGAAGACGCGTAGCTTTCAAGTGCAGTCAGGATGCGTATTCTGTCTTCTTGCTTCATCTCTGCCTTGTTCTTTTTCCACAGTTTTTCATAAAATTTAACTGCCTCGACTTGGTACTTTTTGGATAGGTCGTTCTCGTGAAGCATGTTGCAAAATTTTAACAAGCTTTGCAAAATGGCTTCTCTGTGACTATCCGGTAGCTTTTTGGTGTCTGGGGAATTCCATGCCCCTTCATAAAACCAAAGAGCTTCTCTTTCGTATTTTTCCTGCTTCTGCCTCTCCCCCGACTCAGTAAGTCGCTCGTTTATTGAATCAATGATTTGCCTGTTAGCGGATGAAAACTGGAATCTCTCGATATCTCTTTCTTTGTCCCAGTAACGTAGGTAAAACTCAAACGTTTCTTTTTGAAATTCAGCCTTTCTTTCACCCTCAAGCATCGTCTCGTAGCTCTGGACGATCCTAACCATAACCTGACTGTGGTTTCCTTGTTCCAGAGATTTTTCAATCTTCCAGGCTTCTTCGTAAAACTCTTTCGCTTTGTCATAGTTCTCTAAACGTCGACAAATTTCCGCCATTTGGAAAGCACTCCGTGCAGTCCAAGGATGGTTTCCTAGCATGTCCTTTCTAATCTCGTACGCGTTCTTTGCAGGCTGGTAGGCTTCCCTGTCCTCTCCCAGCCACGCGTACGCGTTGGCAATGTTTCTGTTGTACAGCGCGGTGTTTAAAATCCCCGGGATTTTGAGTTCCTTGGCGAGCTGTAAGGCCTCTTGATAGTATTCAATGGCCTTGCGAAATTGCTTGTTTGCTTCGTCGTCCTGTCCTGCTTTCCGACAAATCCGACCTTTTTCTTCATAGCCTGTACCGATCTGACCTTTGAAAAGTGGCATGTCGAAGTGATTCATGGAACCAGAGAGCTCCTCCCTCATTTCATAAGCTCTCGTGTAATACTTTATCGCTTCATCTGCTTCGCCCAGCCTGCTGTGACAGTTCCCGATGGCGTTCAGGCATCTTGTGATGCTTGTGTGGCTTTTCAGGATATCTTCCATTATCTCAAGAGACTGATGCAAGACCCTTAGCCCCTTAACGAAATTTCCCGCTCTCCAGTAAATCTCACCTTGGACAAAGAGGTAAGAGCTCCGAATGAGCCTGAAGAATTCACCACGTTTGACTTCTTTCTGTACTGTTTTCAGTGTCTCATCTGCCTTCTTTAGTACTTCAAAAGCTCGCCTCCATCCTTCCAGCCGAAGGACTTGCCAAGCTTCTTGGCATCTCAATTCTGCTCGAAGTAAGGAGCCTGCAGGTAAAAAATATAACAGTAAAACGTAAAAGTGTATTCTTATGAACAAGGTTCACGTAAAACTAATAATTTATTTGTAGCACCCAAAGAGGGCTGTCAATTCCGGAAAAGCTTTTGCATTTGGACAACCATTAAAACGCACTTAATTAAAAAGACATTCTGTCTCTTTGCAGTTACGTAGGTGTAGTCTAAAGTTCAGGTCATAGACACCTCCGTGAAACTTTCGTCATTTCACTTGAACAAACACTAAGATTAGTTTTATAGCAGTCCACCATCCATCCATCCATCCATCCATCCATCCATCCACCCACCCATCCATCCATCCACTCACCCACCCACATCATGCAGTGTCCACCTCAATGACAAACTTCAAACATTACAAAATCGTGCTGCTCGGTGAGCAGTCATAGGTGCTGATTGCCGGATGCCTGTTAGCGAATTATCAAGCAAACTCCGTTGGTCCAATCTTACAGTGATATGAAACAAACAAAAAGCCCTCATGATGGTCAAAATTATAAGTGGCATGGCCCAAGAGAATTAGAAGGCATCTTTGCCAGAAATATCGGGAGATCGGTTCATAATCTTAGGATCTTGAAACGGAATCTAGCCTTACCGGTAGTTAAAACCGATTACTCCTGGAATTGCTTTGCTTAGACTGGAGCGAAAGTCTGGAATGCGTTACCAGGAGAAATGAAATGTGAAAAATTCATGGGAGCTTCCAAACATAAATTGGAATCTCTCAATCTCTCAATCAACTTTTAGCACAACATTTAACTTGTAAGCTTGTTTCTTGGTTTCACTTATAGATATTTAATGTATTCACATTTAATATATTGACATAATTTTGTATATATTTCAAAAGCTTAGCAGTATTATCATAGTTCACGGCTTTTGGGAAGAACGAAAGTGCAAAGTGAAATTGTATTTTTTTTTTTTTTTAATTAAAGTTACCGAGTGGTTGAATAAAGTTTTCTATCTATACGTCCATCCGTCCGTCCACCCATCCATCCACCATTATATGTTAGAAAGCACGAGCAATAAACGAGAAAATACATTTATTTATTTATCTATCTAGCTATTCGTTCGTTCGTTCGTTTATTTATTTATTTGTTTATTAATTTATTTATTTATCTATTTGTGATATGCAATCAATAATAAACTATTAACATTGTTCTTACCCTTCTTTCCGTCATCCTCCGCCTTTTCAGCCCAAGAGTTGAAAATTCTTCTTTTCTGTTTTTCATCAAGCATGGCCTCAAACAGATAACAAATCATAACGATTTCATGATGCTCTTCTGGAATAAGCAAGTGGTCTGACTTCAGTGAGATGTTCAAGGCAAGTTCAAAGTTAGGTTTGTTCAGATCGAAACTGTTGAAAGCGTTAATGTAGTCTTTGTCTAGAAGCACTGAAAGATCCTTCATTTGGGACACGAAAAAGTCGCAAAACCGGTCCCTTGCCTTCTGGTAGACTTTGATAAAATTTTTGCTTTTAGCTATGCTCCTTAGAAATTTTCGCATCAACGGATGAATGTCGTAGGAAAGCACCTTCGCCTCTGGATCAACCGATACCACTTTGCTGTTTCGCAAGCCCTCCAGCTGTATAACAGCCTCCGAAGGGTCCACTGCGAGAATGCTAGCAGCTGCTTCGGCGGAGAAAGAACGACAGAATAACGACACAGAAACGGCACTCTCTTTCAGCCTTTCACTCGGCAGGAAGAAAAACATTTTTCTCAAGCAGTTTTCTTGATCTTTGTCGATCCCTTCTTCCTTGTAGTCAAATATTTCTCTCTCCTGCTTGAGTTGTGTAGCCTTCGGTGAAACTGGTAATCCCGTTTCTGAAGGCTCGGTCACTATCTCTTGCTCAATGGTTTCAAGGAGCTTTCTATCATCTGCATTTGTCTGCCTTAAGATAGCGGCCATCCCGTTTAAGATAAGGGGATTACCATGGCACATTTGTACCAACTTCTCCTTTTGATCTTCCTCAAGGCAACGATTTCCAAGGGTCTCAAGGAGCGCACTCGATAAAGCGTCATTCAAAGCTTTAACCTCGCAATTTTCAACATTGAGAGTACCGCCGTGACTAAGTGTAGTTCTCGAAGTCAACAAAATCTTCAAATTTGATTTTTCTCCATCGGTGTTAGGACCAAGAAGTCTCCGGAGAAATGTCACAAATTTGTCGTTCAGATCCGTGGCAGCGTCTCCATCTCCTCCAGCAAATTGATCAATATTGTCCAGAAGTAACAGGATGTCAGTTTCACTGTCTCGCTTCAGTTGTTCCATTTGAGCAATGACTGGATTTGCTTCGTAGGCTAAGACCGTTTGCTTCGATTCCATTAATACGTTTAGAACGTGAAAGTGAACACTCTTCATCTCATTTATTCCTCTGAAGTCAACTTTGAATTTCTTCCCTGGCCACTTTGATAAAGTTTCTATCGCAAGCGTTGTCTTGCCTACGCCACTGGGTCCGTACAAATTGATAACACTCGAGCTTCCCGTTGTTAGCTTAGTCATAACTTTCTCAAGGTCGTTGACTCTCCCAGTCAATTCATCCTTTATCTTTGTCTCTCGCTGGCGGATTGATTTGAATCGTTGAATCTTTTCTTGGATTCTCTCCTTCTTGGATGTTTTTGGAGTTAGAAACTCTAACAAAGTAAGTTTGTTCTGCGACACGAGGCCTTGATTAGCAAATAAACACAGACATGAATACAAATTTTGCTCATCTTGATCTTCAAATTTGCCTTTAAAATTGGTTTTGATTAATGATACGGCTTTTTTAAGTTCGTCGGGGCTCAGTTCACTTGAAATGTCTTTAAAAAGTTTGTCAAGATGCGAAGAAATCTCCCTAGTCGACGAAACTGTTACGAGCGACGCCATCTCAGACAACAATGTCAAGACATGTGTTTTGACGATGAAAGTAATTTATGCGAAGCATAAACTGATATTGCTTATGAAAATGATAACACAGTTGTCTTACTTTCCACGGGTTAAATTAAAAAGGATATCTATCATGAGTTACACACGTTTGAGCTTTCAATCTTAAGTTTGAAAATAACCTGGTCGCAGACTGGAATTTGTTAGCCTCACTTCTTAAACGATTTTATCCATAAGTTTTGAGTCTCTTCTCGGAAATGATACCCATATTTGATGACTGTTGACCACATAGCCCAGTGCTACGCTACATAACCAGTTTTCTACGGCTTGCTGTATGGAAGTCGTGTCGTTCGGCTTCTTTCCGCTGCTCTCTAGGTAAAGCTGTAGCAATTTTAGAATGTGGGTTGCAGCAACTTCTCCGATTTCGTTTTCGATGTAGCTCATTTCTTAGAATTGTTTTGAAAGGAGCAACAGCTGATTGACAGCTGGAATCGCGTGATCGGTAATCTTAAACGTATTAGAGCGTCAAGGGATGTTTACAGGCCAATCGATTACTAGAAAGGAGGTACATTGTTTCCGCCAGATATCGCTAAGGATTCCAAGAAACAATGGAACATTAGTTGCGGTGCCGAAGTCGAGGAAATTGAGCTTGTTTGTCTCTGTGAGTATTATCCCAAGAACAGCTAAATATTTAAAACCGCGTTAAATTCGAAAATGAAACGTAGAAATAAACACACTGCCGTACAGGTTCGTGTTGTCAGGTTGGGCAGAAATTGGTTTGAATTTGAATTTGGTTTTTTGTTGGTTATTTGCCATTGCTGTTGTTATTTTTGTTGTTGTTGTTATTGTTGTTGTTGTTGTTTCTCGCAGAGAAATACACAAAAATTTAGAAGTCACAAGGAGAGCCATTGTTCTGCTGACTAAACCTTCTGTTCAGCAATTTTCTGGTGGTTTATTTTCCTCTGGGGAATGGTGCAAACAACGCACCACAACCGTCAAACGCACCGCACACGCGCAATCCCTCCAAAACTGCTATTTCTCATAAACATCTACCTTGATTGAACTCTTGTACTTTCAAGCCAAAAGTTAAGTGTCACTGAGAAGTTAAGTCACTGAATGCATAGTAAATTTAACGATTATTTTCTTCCTAGTCGATCGGCTTGTGATTTAGCCCACCTTTGCTCTTTTATAACTTTTTCTCGTAAATGTCGTTTTTAGCTCTTAAAAAAACTTCGAGAAAACGAAAAGGCGAAGAAGCGTTGGGTGAGGGTGGGAAAAGATGTTTTCGTGATTCGGAAATAACCTTTTTCTCTCCACTTGAAATGTGAAATTGCTTGTTGTGGTTTTGTTTTGTTTCGTTTTGTTTGATTTTTTCTTGTGATTAGTGATTTCCTTACTAGCCGTAATCAGTGATTTTCCAAACTATTTTTCAGTGAAACAAGAAATCAGCGTTTAATTGGTCGTGAAGTGTAATGGAGAGAATGCCTGGGATGGAGACTGGAAAAGAAAGAGTCACTTACGAAAGTCACGCAACCAACTACTTTGGCACACGAGACAGATGTATGAATAATAATTAAGTGAGGTCAAAGTAAGGAACTTGAAACAGTGTACTGGTCATTTTGCAATTTATGTCGTTGGCTCTTTGGCTGGCGTTACAGATCCTCGCTACACAGTGCTGATGAGTCACAATAAGGACGAAACAGCTGTCCACTGTTGCGATCCTTGTCATGTTGGTGTCTGGAAACGTCTCTCACGTAGTATCAGCCTTGCAGTCTATTGTATGAACAAAAGACTACATTTGGCGTGAAAGTGTGCTCGAATATTTCTCCACGGGCACTATCTATTCCGAGAAGGGAAGAGGTTTCCGAGAGCAAAGTTCCGGGGCTAAAAAAAGAACAGTGAATACAGACAAAAAATGTCCTTTACATAAAGTTATGCCAAAGACGACAAAGGAGAATACACATGAGAGCCTAATCTGATCGTTTTGTTCATAAGCGGAATACTTATCTCCAGGTTTAACTCAGTCCACGATAACATTTGAGGGAAATCTTTGTAAAATGATTAGTACTAAAACTACGGTTAGTTTATCATGTTTATTGTGTAATGATCAGGGCCTTACTTAACAAACTGTCCGAACCGATTAGTGATAGTTGCCATAAAACAAGTGGTAAACGGTTCACGCGTTTGTTCAAGAAGCACGTCTACATTTCGCAAGTCACGGGAAAGATTACTGATTAGGTTTGAGCGGCTGAGAACACCGGCTCAAAATCGACAGAAGCATTTGAACACTTGCAAAACCAGTCTGATCGATCAACGCTGCGCTGAAGTCATGGAATGAATTGATAATTCTCAGATAACAGAGATACGGGAGTCTTTTAAACGTCGCGTGTCTCTCACTTCTGCTTTATTCGCTATATGAACGATTTTTATCAGTTAATTAATCAAGTGAATGATGACCGCGCTTTCAGATCTTCGTTATCAACTGAAGTATCGAGTAGGCGCAGAAAGAAAAACAACCGTGTACATGTCAAACTAGGATGGCGTTATTATTTCATAAACAATTTCCGATATTATGCCTACGCATAAATTTATTGCCTCGTGTAACACGTGTCACGACATTGTTGGTTAAAATGGCGTCGCTCGAAACAGTTTCGGCGACTGAAGAGATTTCTCCGACTTTTGACAAACTCTTAAAAGACGTTTCAGGTGAACTCAGCCCTGAAGAACTTAGGCAGGCTGTATCATCGATCAAAAGCAATTTTAAAGGCAAATTTGAGGACCAAAAAGAACAGGATCTGTATCCATGTCTTCGTTTATTTGCAAATCAAGGTCTCGTGTCGGAGGACAATCTAACGTTGTTAGAAAGGTTTGTCACTCCTAAAACATCCAAGAAGGAGACAATCCAAGAAAAGATTCAAGGTTTCAAAACAGTCCGCCAGCGAGAGACAAAGACAAGGGAGGAACTGACTGGAAGAGACAACGACTTGAAGCAAGTGATGACAAAGCTAACGACAGGGAGTTCGAGTGTTGTCAATTTGTACGGATCGAGTGGCGTTGGCAAGACAAGGCTTGCCATAGAAACGTACTCCAAATGGTCAGGGAGAAACTTTAAAGTCGACTTCAGAGGAATAAATNAACAGAAGTCTTCTATGGCAGGCACAGAACTCCAAGGGATTGAAACACTGACATCTGGATAGTCTGGCACTGTACAAGTAAATTCAGCAGTGACAGTCTTAGGCTTCCGGAAAATGAACGTTTTGAGGCGCCAGATTGCGGCAAAGGAGGAATAACGTGTTATTGTGCATGCAGCTTCAGCAACTGGAAAAAGCCAGTGAGGAAGGGTGGACTTAGCTGCAATATAATTATGTCACAATTATTTTTAATTAGGTAATAGTTGGAAGAAAATGCGCTCGCTGATTGGCTTAAAATCGCGCAATATACATTTGAGAAATGGAAACATGTACCGTGTTTCTATCGAAGTTTAATAGAATTCGACCTGTATACTGATGCAAATGCTGCATTCTGATTAGCTGAGTGATCGAACACTATCGGCCATTAATGTGCCGTGACGGGAGGTCGTCTACAAAATGGCGATGTTTGTTTATTTTCCAAAGTTTTGGAGAAGTGTTTTGATGCAAATGGCAATTATATTCGCAAGAAGATGAAAAGAAGAACGTTCACGGGTTCTTGAAAAAAATGATACCCGCTCAAACGTGCTGCAATTTCAAATGACAATTCAACATGGGCGATCTCTTCAAGGCATGAAAGTAAGTTTCAGTTAGGATTCTACTAAAACAATTAGATTATTCCTTTCGATTTCAATAAGGTGAAAGTTGATTCGGCCTTTGGCCTCATCACCTAAATCCTCGTGGAAATCTCAAGCTCATAATCTAATTGTTAAATAGAAACACGTGTGGAAGTTTGAGAGAACGGGAAATGCTGTGGGAACACGAGCCGACAGGTGAGTGTTTCCACAGCTTTTTCGAGTTCTCCCAGACTTCCATCAGTGTTTCTATTAAACAATTAGATTATGAGCTCGAGATTTCTATTGCGGGATATTTGACGAGGGCGCAGCCCGAGACAAGTATCACTCATAGAAATCGAGAGCGAATAATCTAATTGCTTTAGTATTAATCTACTAGTTGTTCAAAACGTTGTCTAAATCCTCTTCATAGACACCTCGAAAACGCAAAGAAGCGGCCCTCATTTTGTTTCCAAGCGCACACTGCCACGCTACTCACCATATATAACAGAACAGACAGTGAGTAGCGTAGCCAACCAGAGAACGGCATGATAGAATTGTTACCACGCTGATTGTTCCCTCGTTTGAAGGAGGTGAAATAAAATGGGGTCAGAAAAGAAAGCTAGGGTCGATCCACGAGCCAGTGAGGGGAATTTGAGTTGGACCGAGATGACAAAGTTGAACTTTTGCTAGGAGTTGTCCTTGCATTTTCTTCTCAAAAGGATTAGAAATATGGCATTACTCATTATAAAATTGATTGCCTGTACCTGTAACAGAATGATGCAACCACCGACCGCAATCGATGTGACCACCAGGTCCACCATTTTGGTTATATCGCAAACTCAAAAGATCACAGGCGAAAAATTATCCGGATTCTTTCTTTCGAATCGTTTACATAATAAAGCTTTCCAGATCCAAAAGTTGTCGGAGTTAAAGTTCCCACTAAATAATTTCTGGATTCAAAATCTCCGGAGACACGACCACACCACGCAGTTTTAATTTTATTTTGGACTCGTCCACTTGCGTGTAGACGGCAAAATCAATCCGGTGCTAAAACGTTCCGAATTCGTCACGAGGCGGGAACAATTTCCTCCAGTTTAAACCTAGCATGTAAGCCATGCTGCACAACTCGCATTTTATTACTATTTAAAAAAGTGAGGAAGGAATCCCAGTGAATGACTATTCAAAAGAAGCTATGAAGCCACACATCTCTATGTGATAATATTTTGTTGTTGTTGTTGTTTTTTCCTCTGTACACGGTGATGTTTACTTTAAGACCTACATGAACATGTATTGATGACACTAACGAGGAAGAGGAACAGAGCTTTTATGTGGATAGTCAAATGTTTATTACGTTTTCCAAGCTATTAAAACGTTCTAGAAAAAGCCATTTTGGCTAGAAGAGTCAATAAAACAAACAATTGTTACGTGTCTTTACTCGATACCTGATGTATGCCAAAAGTTTTCTGTCTCCAAATCTATCCATTCATTGTCTTCCAGGTCAACCAACTGCTTGATAACAACTTCATACCCTTTTAAATTACAGGCACTGTGCATCAAAGCCACAGTAACGCTTTCTTGGGCATCCCCGCTGAACTCCAGGTCAGGTGGACCATCATGTGACAGTTCAATCACGTTGCTTACCAAGACTTCGTTACTGCCAAGGGGTGGAGAGAGGGTCCTGGGACTCCATAATGAGCATGCAATGAGCAATGGTTTCGTGTCAGCTCCACGACAAAATGTGACCGATGCAGGAGCTTCTTGAAGGTTCCAGATATCACCTTCATGCGATACTTCTCCCCTGAAAAATCATAGTGTTATGATAGGTGTAACTACAATGTTTAAATTTTAAATTGTTACATACATACAGCCACGTAAAACACCCTTCACTATTTGGCATATTGCTTGGTATTGGTATAATCCTCTGTTAGGGAGATATTGACTTTTTGGACGATCTACTTGGCAGATGGATTAAACCCAATGCGAAAAGCACTGTTGCTTGTGTTAACAGTTCCTTGTTAAAAACTCTCTGCCTGGTTTCAGTGAAGACTCAATGGCTTAGGGCATTGTACTTAAGCTTTTGGCACTGGCCAGGTTCGCTGTGCTGGTACCTTAAATAATTATAATTGATATGTGTAATGTATTTGTAACTTATTTTTCGGATTAGCACAATGAATTTGTTGCTGTTGTTGTTCTTGTTGTTGCTGAGTAAGACGCTTCACTCTCAGATTGTCTCTCAGGTGTATCAATGGGTTCCGCCAAACCTTTTTTTGGTAACCTAAAAATGTATCAAATGCTGGGGACGAGTGGCATGACGTTGCCTATGCCGACCTAGCAGTACCCCATCCAGGGGATCCTATCCTTGTTCAGTACAGATACAAGGAAAATCTGTAGGGTTATTGCTACTAATTTGGCGCAAGTGCAGACTTCAAATCACCACTTTGCGCATTGGTTCTTCTTTAAAGTGAAGCTCTTCACTGAAGAAATGTTACAACAGATCTAGTCAGTGATACCGTGCATACATGTGCATGTAAGCATACATAAATATTAGTCTGTGGTGCACAGTCTAGAATAATGCAGTTCACACGTGTATTGTATCATCTGGAAAAACGCAATGAACCGAAATTAGTACTTAACAGTAGGACAAAATTGTACCTCTTGATGAGGGTCTTAGGGTTAATATGTTGTGAGGTGTCTGTTTCATCGTCTAAATCAACTTCAATCTCTTCCTCTTCCTCTTCTTCACCGTCGTCCTTCTGCTCATATTCGGAAACAATTTGTTTGACAGGGAGGACCACTACATTTTCATTGGCTTAAAAAAAGTCATAAATAGTCTTAAGTATGCTGCAAGCCAGCTTAAAAGCTCATTGATACCAACACTCAAATGTATATGTGCAGTGCCGATGTAACTCTACATACATGCAGAATAATTTGGATTAGATGGACGCCATGTTGACACTATTATTTTTCAGCATTGTGTCACAATGTACTTCTCCTTTCGTCAGGATGAACAATTAACAAACACTGTGACAGTATTAATCACGCTTGGAATTTGTCATAAGAAGGTAGGATAATGTCATTGGCTTTTGCAGTCCTAAGCTTCGCACCGTAATATCACAAAGCCGAAACCGCACCTTACCTCTACCAGAAAACAAAATGCACCACAATTCATGATTAATGTGTAATGATAAAACCCAAGCGCTTGAATTGTTCCTTTTTGGCTGGTACTAAAAATTGTGGCAAAGAAACAAGTGGATAGGCCAAAAATAGTACCCACTTTTGCAAATATCGAAAAAAATATTCCACCTGGATAGTAGTGATATACCGTGCAGTATGCATAGTTCAATTACCTGCAGTTGAATTTACTATAGCATGTAGGAGGCAAAAATGTGACACAGGCAATATTATGTGTCCATTTCAATTATCAATTGACTTACGGTATATTCCCAGATTATATGTCTAACGACTACACTTTTTACTTACTATTATTCCGACTAGAGGGTACAGGTATATGTAGACCCCGTTTACACCCTCGTAATTAATGGTTTATCTGCAAGGGCCAATTTGCGTTGCTACATTGTAGATCAAAATGTTGTAAACTTTGCAATATTTGTTACCATTTGAACGTAATGTGGCCTTCGGTTTCTTCCCATCTTGAAGTGCCTGGAAACAAAATAAAATAAAACTGCTGGTATTCTGTAGAGTGAAACCTATACAGTGATGACAGTTTACATTGCTAGCCTAACCCATACACATGTTGTGTATCATTAAGTGTTCTTCATCATCCCTTCAATTTTCCACAGTGATCAACATCTGAGTTCTTATGCATTATGCACGAGTGTGTAAATTCATCTCCTGCTCAATCCCATGAATATGTCACATTTGTGAAGATGAAATAACGTTTTGCTAATTATTTTGCGTATGACATGGCTTGTACTAATTAANGTCCGACATGAAGGACATTTCAGCTATTTTGGACGAAAACTACATCGACGCTTTCAACAGATTTGACCTTGACAAACCAAACTTTGAGCTTGCCTTGAACATCTCACTGAACTCAGACCACCTTCTTATTCCAGAGGAGCATCATGAAAGTATTATGATTTGTTATCTTTTTGAGGCCATGCTTGATGAAAAACAGAGGAGAAGCATTTTCAACTCTTGGGCTAAAAAGGCCGAGGATGACGGAAAGAAGGGTGAGCAAAATTTTATTGTTTTATTGATTTAGCTAGGGGCCCTGTCTCTTCTCTGGCTTACAACATAGCTGTAATTCTTGCAACCTGAAAGGATCGAAAAATAAATCGTCTTACATTAACAAAAACAAACCAACATAGAAACAAACAAACAGTTCCGGTTTGAAGGATGCACGAAGGAATTCGGTCGTTCGTTTTTCTTGTACTACATTGTATATTTTATTGATTAATTTGTTCATATTTGGTAGAGGGGTCCCCTCAACTAGCTATGATTTCTTTCTTGATTTATTGTAGTAAACTTTCTTTTATTAATTGATTGTCTAACTCTCCTGAGCAATACTACACAGTATGAAATTGGTTTTAGAAATCATTTATAGTAAATTAAGAAAACTATATCAACGCGAGAGAGGATTTAGCTACATGTATTCTATTATTAAGTGCCAAAAACACCTTTGAGCGTCTACATTTTGAAGGATATTTGTTTGGTCGAGCTTGATTGCGTGGGCTTTTCCAGACCAATCCTGGTCTGTTACAGATGAATAAGCAACTGACCGTGACATTTTTGTTTTGTGAAAATGATTAATTAATTCAATGGTGTGAAGTATATATGAAATAATTCATATTTGAATGGTCTTGCTTCTTTTCTTAATGGCTAACTGTATGTTTCACTAACAGTGGCGTGTTCAAGGAGGTACAAGTAGGCCATGAAAATTCAATCCCTTCAACGGATGCAGGGAGAAATTGAGTACTAGCTCATTTGCTTGTTGGTTTGCTTTTGTCTCGCTTCATTGATTGATTGAGTTATGATCAAAAGAGATTTGCTAAACCAAAGACATGCAAAAATTACGGAAAATACTGTTGCTCGACATTTGATTGATTGATCGATCGATTGAGTGATTGACTGATCCCGATTGGTCGATATTTGTCCTTTGCCTGGGCCTGATTACTGCGAAATTGGCGTAAGGATAAATTCTTGCCTAAGGGAATGAGGAAAACTTTTTAAGGGAGATTAAGACTTGAACTGCAGTTTACCCCAGTTTTATCGTTAAGAGATAAACGTTACCTTGGATAACATACGTTTTAAAAGATGCTTAGATGGACACTGTTGATTGCGCGGGCTATACCAGATTTCTTGGTACACCAATTGGAATTGGCTACAAACGAATAAACAATAGGTCGTGGTAATCTGTTCCTTGAGTATGTAGTTAATTAGTTGTTGTTTATCTATCTATTTATTTTTTTTTTTATTTTATAAGGCTCCTTACTTCGAGCAGAATTAAAATGCCGAGAGGCTTTGCAGGTTCTGCAGCTGGAAGGATGGCAAAGAGCTTTGGAAGTCCTAAAGATGGCGAATGAGTCGCTGAAAACAGTACTGAAAGAAACCAAACGCAGCGAATTCTTCAAGCTTACTCGGAGCTCTTACCTCTTTGTCCAGGGTGAAGTATACTACAGAGCAGGCAATATGGCAAAGGCCCTGAGAATCTTGCATCGGTCTCTGAAGATAATGGAAGATATCCTACAGAGTCACACCAGTACTACCAGATGCCTGAACGCCATTGGCAATTGCCACAACAAGCTGGACAAACCAGATGAGGCGATAAAGTATTATACCAGAGCTTATGAAATGAGGAAGGAGCTCTCTGGCTCAATGAATCACTTTGACATGCCAGTATTTAAAGGTCAGATCGGTACAGGCTATGAAGGAAAAGGTCAAATCTATCGAAAAGAGCGACAGGACGACGAAGCAAGCAAGCAATTTCGCAAGGCAATCGGATGCTATCAAGAGGCCTTAGAGCTCGCCAAGCAACTCAAAATCCCAGGAATGTTAAACACAGCATTATTTAACAGAAACATTGCAAACACGTACGCGTGGCTAAGAGAGTTCGAAGAAGCCTGCCAACCTGCAAAGAACGCCTACGAGATCAGGAAAGACATTCTAGGAAATCATCCTGACACTGCACGAAGTGCTTTCCAAATGGCAGAACTTCGTCGAGGCTTAGAGGACTACGATGAAGCGGAAGATTACTACGAACAAGCGTGGGAGATTGAAAAATCCCTGGGACAAGGAAACCACAGTGAAGTTATGACCAGAATCATTGACTCTTACGAGGCGTTGCTTAGAGGCGAGAAGAAGAAAGAATTTCAAAAGGAAACGTTTGAATTTTATCAACGTTACTGGAACGAAGAAAAAGATTTCGAAGGATTTGAATTTTCCTTGGCGAACAGGAAAGTCATTGATTCAATAAACGAACGGCTTGGTGACTTGGCTGACAGGCAGACGCAAAAGAAATATCAACAAGAAGCTCTTTGGTTCTACGAGGGTGCATGGAATTCTCCAGACACCAAAAAGCTACCGTATCGTCAGAGAGAAGGCATTCTTCAAAACCTTTTGCGGTTGTGTAACATTCTCCGTGAGAAGGATCTGCTCAAAAAGTACGAAGGCGAGGCATTCAGATTTTATGAAAAGCTGTGGAAAAAGAACAAGGAAAAGATGGAAAAGCAAGACAGAATAGACATTCTTACCACGCTTGAAAACTACGCGACATCGCTTAAGGACGAGAAGAAGGCCCAGAAGTATGCGATCTTGTTAAAGGTATTTAGTGAAGCAGCTAGCAATGGCGTCTTATCAAAATCTAGTACACTTAAGCGTGCAGCATAATCAAAGCATGGCCGTTCTGGACGAGACCAAACTAGGTGCAGCTTTGCTTTGCCAGATACCCCTTTTTCACACTCGAGAGACCGTTGGCAATGGATTGAGTCATGTGTTAAGCTTTGTTTAACGGTACATCATATAGTTTTATGATGCACCTCGGAGGTTTCAGATAGCGCCAGAAAAGCTGGAGTTACTCTTGCCCGCGCCTCGGGCAACTCTTACCCATTGTTTGTTTTCTCCAAACTTCCCGCGTCTATCATAAATCGACAATACGCGCCAAATAATTAATCGATTCTTAAAAAAGGAAAGAAAATGGCAACAAAATTAAGCCTTCCAAAGACATGTTGCTGTGATTTCCGTTTGTCTTCGTTTCGTCCACACCAAAAGATCCTAACTTAGCGGAGAATACTGTAATTAGCCTGTGTCATAGACGTTCTGTGTAACGCTTTAATGACTTGGAACGAACTTCCCGAGTTTTAGTCCTGGTCTAAACACTAGCCGGAGCTGCTTTATACCGGCACACTGCAGATCATTAACTCTAGCTTCGTCCATGGCTGTCAAAAGCTAAAGGGTCTCTACCAATCCAGTTGGGATTTCTCTTTTTCTCTGTTTGAAACCAATATAAAGATCCTTACGCGAAATTTCTGCTGTGGTGATGTTTTATGTGCGCCTAATCGTTGACTCGATTCATATATAGTCACTTTTGATTTGGAGACTTAACAAGACTCCAACAGACACTTGGCATATGAGAGCTATTTATTTATTTTTTTTAAACTACGCTTTTTCTTTTTTCAATCTATCAACAGGAAAACAAACGGAGCGGTACACTTGTGGGATCTTTTAAATCTCTTTTCTCATTTGGATCAGCAGGTATTTTATATCACTGACTATTTTGTTGGTTTGTATAACGGTGTAATCATTTCTTGATCGATCCTAGATTGAAAATTGCTGGGCATAGGCTGGAATCGTTTAATTCAACCTCATTCGCGCAGGAAAACAAAAATAACTTTGAAGAAGGTTTTGAGCACTGCCAAGTTGCAATGGAGGGAAAAATATCGTCAGTGCTGATATTGAAACCAGTTTTAAACAGCAAATGTTGAATCATTGTGGTCAACAAACTTATCCCTCACCTCTCCCCCCACCCCACCCCCCTCCAACCGTAGAAATGTTTAAGATTGGACTCTGAAAATCCCAAGATGATGTCGTAACTTAAAAAAGTCAATGAAGAGTGTCTTTTTTTCTCTCGTGGAAGGATCAACCAACATGAGAATCTTTGTGGTCAACAACAATGTTGAATCATTGTGGTCAACAAACTTATCCCTCACCTCTCCCCAAAGCCCCCACCCCACCCCCTCCAACCGTACAAACGTTTAAGATTGGACTCTGAAAATCCCAAGATGATGTCGTAACTTAAAAAAGTCAATGAAGAGTGTCTTTTGTCTCTCGTGGAAGGATCAACCAACATGAGAATCTTTATGGACTTACGCATGCAGAGTTATGGCAGAATAACTCAGTTTTTATAATAAATCAGTCGTTGGTCATTTTCCTTCGTTTATTAGCGATGTGTTGTATTATTAGCAAAACATCACTAAAAATCTTAAGTAGCTGAATCTCAGTTTTTCCGTTAAATTAGCTGAAAAGCTGTCTAGCGATGACGATGATGATTCTGATAAAGAGGTCGATGATCAAGACGATGATGACGATGATGACGATGATGGTAGTAATGGCAGTCAAGACCTCACTGAGCAGTTATCACAACTTGCAGTTGAAGAGCAGGAGCTGGAGGAGCTAGAGAATCCAGATGATCAAGAACCAGACAAGATAAAAATACACGAGTGAGTATTACAAACCGAAGGCATACTGATGTTGGATAGGAGTATTGACCAAAAAATACTCTTTTGACCCAAACTATAATTTGATGTCCGCAGATGATGGTTCGTTATCTTATATTCTGATTTGCCAGTTCCCTCTATGAGACGTGCCTGCAGGGAATCATGGTATTTGTATTCATTATCTTGGACTGGATATCTCATAGGGGGAATTGGCCATTCTTTTGCTTCTGCCTTTTTTCATGCGTATCAACAGGTTTGTCAGTCGATGATGATGACAATAGCGCGTCATAGTGCGTTTTGAAACGGCAAAATGGCGTGAATTTAGTGATTTTTGTGTAGTTCTGATCCCGCGTATTCGTATTTAGCGTATTCAAGCTTAATATGTACTGTTATGCCGTGAAATTATCATTCGTAGACTCCATGTTTAAATTTCCGACGACGCAGCGTCGATTGAAACAAATTACCATAGAGTAACATAGTGGCAAGCTGGTTATTAAAACCGAAAACCAAATCCTTTCGAATTGGACCCAGCTGGGGAGCTATCTTATTAAAATTCAAGAGAACCCATAAGTTTTCTTTATAGTCTACTCTGTTGTTCAGTCGAGATTCATTCTAAAGTTCGGTTAAACTGCTTCCTCCTCCTTCCATTCAAATTTGTTTGAAACAGTGTTATTAATTTGAATATTAATCATATTAACGCAAATCTAGGTATACAGAACTGTTATTGCTACTTAGGGCCGGGCAGGGTCGGATTCTAGTGCTTGATATTGCTCTTTTGCAGCATGCAGGTCACAACATTTGCTAGTACCTATAAGATTCAAGCATCTCAATGAGTTTTGCCTTATCTTTGATATGTATTGTCCAACTATAGAAATCCGTGTGCAATTGAGACATCGTAGCAATTTGACCAGAACAATAGCAATTAGAAGCGATCGAGTTTAGTTGTTTTTAGCTTTTTTCTAATGTACTTCCTGTCAGGTATTTGAATCAGTGTGCATATTCATGCTTTCCCAAAGCATTTCATTTACATGTAACCTGCACGACTGTCTTCGTTTTCAGAGGAACAGTAACTAGCGAAGACACCCACTGGGATCTGGAAAAGTGGGCTGTGCACATGACATTCCCTCGTGATGCTGTATCTGAGCCCACCGTGATAGAGATCCACAAATGGAAATCCACTGCTTGTTCACCCCAACTCCGAGAACATGAAGCTGTTGTCAGCAACGTGATTGAAATCTCAACGAGCAGTGATGAAGCTCTGGAGTTCCAAGCTGAGGTGAAATTGACACTCTCTCACAGTGCGGCTGACCTGCATGGCTATGAACTGGTGATATTCAAATTAATTAACAAGGAGACAAATGAATGGGAGGACGTACGTGAAACTGAAAGATTTCAGAGTCTGTCAGGTTAGCAAGGTTCCTTTTTAATTTCCATACGCCTTTATCTTAGATACACGATGTGGAGGTTCGTTAGTAGAATGGTTAATCCATTGTCATTGGAATTCCTCCTCCATGATGATGCAGATACTGCCAAACTGTTGGCAAACCTGGGAAAATGTCCTTAGTTATTTTGCCATTGAGCTTGCACCTACCGGCAACTTGACTAGCGATCGACTAGGCTATTTTTGGTGCGCCAGTTTTATCGATGCCCTCCAACTAACTGAACGCCTGGAGGAGGGTAATGGTAGTCTCTCATCGTTCCAATTTTTGAACATGTATAGAGTGTTCACATGATATAATTAGCCAATCGGATTTGTCAAAATAAGCTCTGGCTCTGCATAGATTGACCGTAAGTCTGTGAATGGCAACGCTCGAATTACAACCGGCCAGACGTTGCGAATTTTGGTTCTACCCTAAAGAACTGCGATCTCTGTAGAGGAAAATGGCTCATGATGTCATATTTCTTTTTCTCAACATATTAATAACAGAAATGGAAGACGAATATCCGTCGGCCAGAGATTTCCCTGACTTTCACTTCCCCATTGTGCAAGCTGAGATAACAGAATGCTCAACATACGCGGTAGTCTGTCGACTCAAGTCATCTCCATCTTATGACATTACATCTAACGGTGGTTCCTTTAACCTGCCTGAATATCCAAATGTATGCGTTACCATCCCTAAGAAGGCTGTTGCGCCAAAAGCAAAGATTCCGCTGCAAATAAAGGTAGGCGTACTTTCACGGGGTAGTGCATTGGTGATCGACCATGTAATCTCCTTTCAATACGCTAGAAATACTACCACCAGTTACGAGTTTGGGCTAAATGTGTATAATTCTACATATCTGTGCAGTGGAACTATTACGATGTGACCACCTAGCTCGCTATCGCGGCTACCTTGGCCAGAAAAGAACTTAGTCAGGCTCTACTGAGCTATATAGTCTATCAAACATTTGTTAGGTATCTCTTGAGATCATGGCTTTTTGTTTGTGTCCTCGCGCCTCTAGGTACACGAAATTCCTCGTGAGGAATTTAAAGGCCAAGAGGTTGTGGTTGGACCTATTTTGCGAATCTCCTGCAGTGAAGTCGTCGAGTTCAGGAAGCCCGTCACGATCCAGTTACCAGTTTGTCTAGGAAACGAACAGCTCGACATTCCTGACGTGTCACAATGCCATATTAGAGTACTGTTTCTGAGGTCCGAGGAAGGACGAAAGGAATGGGTTGAAATCACTGAAGATGTGAAGAACTCGACTAGATTTGACGGAGAGACAGTTAGATTCCAGGTTCATCGTTTCTCTGGGTACGAATGTAACTCAACTTTGTTTACAATCCATTCATTACAATCTGTGGAGTGATTTATCTTTCAATAATTTCAAATAAAAGATCACACCATCACTTTTGAAACTGGCTCATCTGAGAGGTGAAGCCGTCGCAACTGAAAGTTTGTTTTCGCTTTGATTCGCACTAACGAAGTGGAAAGCTTTGGTTTTATGATTATGACTCGATGGGTTTGTTAAAAAACGTGACAATACACATAATCATTTGGCTTGCTCTTGTAGCCGATATAACGCGCGCTCTGATTGGCTAGTTGTAGCGCATTATTTTCCCGTAATGCCCGCGGGCCGATTACGAGTCTGCAAAAACAAAGCAAAAAGCCGTATAATAAACAACTTATTATCCTCGAACGTTTCGTCCTTACGGAAAAATCTCAAACCTCGGCCTTGCCGTATTGACCGAGCGTTAGCAAGGTCTCGGTCTCAGATTTTCTCCTAAAGCTTGATAAGTAGTTAGTACGGGAGAGAATCGTCGAATTTCTGTTGACAAAAAGTCTCTTTTATGCTTCCCTTTTCTCGCGCTATTAATTGTCGAATTGAAAGTTTACTTCAAAGTCTTAATCTTGGTTATTTTATGTTATGTCTAAGGGCTACATTCTCTCAGCCTTCTGCTTTCGAATCTTAAAATACTTTTTTTTATTTCTTTCAGATACGCGTGCCTTCTTGACTGGCGCTTAAAAGATTTCAGTGTTGCTGGAGTTATCGGGTATCTGTCGAGCCTTATTTGGTGCCCTCCACAGCTAGCAGTGTTCTTCGCTTACTTTCCTCCAGAGGAACGACCTGATTCGCAAGATATTTTGTTCCTCATTTGTTGTCCCTCTCACCTAAGACGGCAAGTGACAAAAGAGTTACAAGAGAAGAACATTAACTTCCCAAGTGACGCCGACTCGGAGAAAAAGATGATACCGGGACATGATAAGGCATATGTTTCTCTCTCAGGGGGGATCAGGGCACTTGACGAAGATGACATGGGAAACATCCATCTCAGGTAACTACATTATGGATTTTATATAAACAATAGACTCCATTTTGTTAGGTTTTATGACGACATTGGAAAAAAGGTCAATAATCAATTGGTACTTGAGAATGTCTTTAATTTTTTTTCAAAACACTCAGAACAGCTCCAAAACTGATTATAAAAACGGAAAAATAGACTCAAGAAAGGTGAAGAATTTGGAACCAAATTCTCCTAAAGTCCAAATTTGCACTTAAACAGCATTTTAAGCTTAAAGAACATCAAATTTCGTTAAAACATCCTTTGAGAATATGATTGAACGACTATGGCTTAGAACTTTTAGCATTCTACCCTTCCCCCCTCCCACACCACCAGATTAAACAGGATTGATGACTTTGTGGGGTTGCTATCTCCTTTCATAGTCATCCGTCTGACTAAAGACCAAATTAGACTCCACTCAGTCCTTGTAGTATCCTCTGCGAGCATTTGCCAGTAAGTAAACTTTGTTTTATATCCATTTGAAACAGGTTTGAAGGTCATGATCCACACCGAGTTCAAGTTGCAGTTCGGGTGATCAATGATAAGGGATTGTCTGGGGTGAAGTTTTACAGCAGCCCCAAACTTGAGAAAGAAACTTTACTGTGCAAATTACATTTTAGATTGTCACCCCTCAAGAAAGATTTTAAGGTAAGTGATTGAGGGAAGTAGGGTGGGAAAGGTAGTCGTTAAATGTTCTTGAGCCTAACTATTACTAATTTTTTTTGTTTTTTTGTCGTATTTCTCCTTTAGACAACACCAGTGGATTTTTTTGGCGTTCCTGTCAGCGACAAAATACTGTTGGAGGCCAGAGCAGAGGAAGTGTTAGCCATTGGTAAAAGATTCGTAGATAGCATTACGTATAACAGTCATCTTCACCGCCTGTCAAGTGAAAGTGGCGAGGAAATATTGCAGAGTTTCTTTGAGGTTCTGGCTGGGTTGACAAGTGAAAGCCAAGATGAGTGTTTTGAAGCACTCGTTACTAACCTCATTGTGTATGGGCATGTGATTGATCGCCTTAAAGAAGGTAAAGTGCCTATTTTGCCTTAGTTTCTTAAGGACGGTGCCTACTAGATACAAAGGTTTTTGCGCCAGGTTAGGACCAAGGGCTATTGGAATCCACAAAGAAAAAATGGGGTAGCCATGCATTTTTTCGAGATAACCAGCCTTGAATCTCAACAAAAATGCTGACATCAGGATTTTTCTGAAAAAGAAGGAAAGGATATTTCTTGACAAATTTCCTTAGAATTCGCCTTTACATACAGAAAAGCAACCACATTGAAAAAGATCTTTAAACTACATGGCAAATGGTAACATAAAAACCATTTTTGGTATGTTTTTAATAACAAAATCGTTGCAACAGCGCTTTTAGCGTCTCTGAAAGCCTTCCTCTGGTTCAGCTAAAATACAGTCTAAATACCTTTTGCTAATCACGTGTTGAATAGGCTTGCCACTTCCATTTCATAACATAAAATGTAGGGGTAACCACGCGTTTTGTAAAGCTATTCATCCTTTTTGAAAACTTTTACGGTGCCCGTTACATTTTTTCCTGTCACCTCCCCAGTAAGGAAGACATTTGGGTATCTCGCACTTGTTTTGCGCGCGCACTACGCCGTCTACGGGTACAGGTACATGTTTATAGGTGGATCTCAGTATAATTTTCGACAGATATCAGTTAGGTTTTCAGCTGGAAGACGTAAACAGTTAGTCGTTAGCGATATGCTACTATTCTGGTGTTCCTGGCTTAAGGTGGCTCGTACCAGTTTTCAGGTTTTTGACGGCTCATAACTTTGTAAGAATAGAACAAAAAGGCCACTGTAATATTTTTGTACGTTTGGATTATACAATTTATACTTGACCTAAAACGACTGTTATTTTGTCGTCAGCAGTTACCATGGCAACATTTGAAAAGTATTTTCCAGACCTGATTTTTCGCGTATGTCACTAATAACTAACAAATTGACCCGGTGACCCCGAGTTTTTTTTAATCAATAGCTTTTGGCATCTGAAAATGAAAATGCACGACAATTTTAAATCAATTTTACGGAGCCGATTTCTTGTAAACTTGGAAAAACGACAATTTGAACAAAGTGCAAATTTCCTTCTGAAGAATTTTTTATTTTTTTTCTGACGCATCCTCTCAATAATAATATCATTTTGAAACAATAAAAAGAAGGGGTCACCTGGCCTGTCTTCATGTAAAAGCCTTCGCGAGTTCCGTTATTCCCACGCGCGTATACACGCATTCAAAAATACAGACTTAATAAGATCAGCAGTCGCTCATGAGCTGTTTTGACTACCACTGACTGCTTCGTGTGCCCGCGCGGGCATTTTGTTTTATTTGCTGCCGTTTGGTGCTAAAACATCCTTTACAGTTGTAGTTGTCGTTAAAGACAACTTCCTGGGCTTACCCTGTAGGATTTTTACACAAATTCTGGGTAGATTTGCTATGTTTTACGAGTCCTTTATACGCTCTCGGTGGCTGCACGATCGATCGAACTTCCCTTGAAATTTGGGAAACACTGGATTCCCGAAACAATTTTTCTTAAATGCACAGAATTGACTTAAGTTGTCATAGCAGGTAAAGACGAATTTCGTCTCCAACAGTACAAAAGTGACCTTGCGCGAAAAAAGCCGCGCGCCGCCATATTTGTTTTTGGTCTTTCGGGTTCTAAATCTCGCGCCTCTATCGCGCGTGTTTCTCACGCTTGACGGACGATGGTGATCTACTCCCCGCGCGAGAAAACTGGTACCAGCCACCTTAAGGTCATTCCGCTGAAATAGAACCTGCACTGAGATTTTTGTGAAACTTTGCCTATCGATTGTGAACTTATATTTTGAAATAAAAATGAGGGGTCCCCATGTTCGTTTAGGAGCAAAAGCACCTTGTTTGTACCAATATAAATCCTTATAATAGCACCATGATTGTAGTTACGATTGTTTGCTAAATTCACGTTTCCGACGATTGCTTTTTGTTCTACACTGAGAACTGGTCCATGTCTATTTTACACAGAGAAATTTATTATTCAAGTCAAAACAACAGAAAAAAAAATGATAGGTCACCATGCTCGTTTGCGAGAAAATGACGATTTACCTNCAAGGAAGGCTACGTTCAGCCCTGTCCAAACGGTAAATGTTTGGTGATCAAAAACCATGAATTATGCTATGTTGACCACTCATTTTTCCGCGTGGACACCTTGTTTGATCATTTTTAATGAAAATTAATTTGAATGGCCCTAAGACCCATTGGGGGTTATAAGGAATAATGGTGATGATGATGATGATGATAATGAAAATGATGACGATGAATGAAATTTGAACGTCACACATTGTAAAACATTTTGTTCGTTCAAACATGTTTGATACCACTCAGGTCAACATCAACATGTTTGGTCACTAAACAATGTTTGATCGTGTCTGGTCGCCTAGCATTTCCCGTTTGAGCAGTGCTTTAACCACCATCTCAAAACATGCTTTGTATTCCTGACCAAAAAACTTCAAGTTCAACTTTAATTGATTGTTATTCGAATATTTTTTTAGCACAAATTTTTCAAAAAATTCAGAACAGCTCCAAAAATTGATTTTACAGAAATTAGAATAAAACATGCAAGAACTTGGAACATAATCCCAACAAAATCCAAATTCTCTCTAAAAAAGAAATTTAAGCTTATAGAACACCCAAATTTCGGTAGAACATCCTTTGAGAACATGGCTTCCATAGAAACTTCAAGTCACATGGAAAAAAGCGATGACTATGTCTTGAATGCTGATTATAAGCAACTCATGTATAGTCTATAAACATAAAGGAAAAGATATGCAGAGTTAACGACCTTCCGACATAAATCTTAGCCTATTTCCTTGCTTCTATGATGTTTACCGGGCTTATTGACAATTTCTTCTATTAACTATGACCAAACTTAGTAGGGCTAATCACTCCGTGGGACTGTTATCTTTTTTATTGACCCGATTAATTATAGACTGAATTGAACTCCGCTCAGTCTTATTACTCTTATCTGCGAGTATTTGCCAAAAATGCATTTTGATATACAAATTAAATATTTGAAACAGGTTTGAAGGCGATAAAAGAATCCAAGGTCAAGTTGCAGTTAGTGTGATCAGTGATACGGAATTGTGTGGCGTGACGTTTTATAGCAGCCCTGAACTCGAGAGAGAAAACTTACTTTGTAAGTTACACTTTAGATTGGCAACCCTCAAAAGAGATTTTAAGGTAAGGCTAATCCGTAGGATGCACTAGAATCGACCTTTGGCCGATTTTCCGAGCTAAAAGTAGCCCTGACTCGCTTAAAGTCAGCTCATCAGAGACGAGAAAGTGTTTGAAAGGGCAGGTCGACTCATTGAGACTCAGATTGAAACGCTCTCTCTGACCGTCTGATCAAGAGTCTACCCTACCCTGGGGGAACTCAGATCGGAGGAGACTTAGCGAAGTGGCTGAAGAGAGTAGGATGGGAAATGTAGGCGTTAGATGTTCTTTAACCACATTACTATTTTTTTCTTCTATCGTATTCCCTCTTTAGACGACCCCAGTGGATTTTTTTGGCGTTCCTGTCAGCGACAAAATACTGTTGCTCTCGTTACTGAGCTGAAATATGAACACGTGGTTGATCGCCTTCATGGAGGTAAAGTATGCATTTTGCCAATATACTATTCTGAAAGATGATCGCATTTGCAGGGGTCTGTAGGCCAAAAAAGACCTCACAGTAAGTTTATCTATTTATTTTATTTTATTATTTTTTTTATAATTTTTAACAATATCTACATTACCTTTACAATACGTACAAATAATACTTACAATACACTAAAATATAACAAAAGAAAAGAAAAATACAGTTACATTCACTACTATAACTTGCAAAAAGTTGCGTTANCTATTTTTTTCTTCTATCGTATTCCCTCTTTAGACGACCCCAGTGGATTTTTTTGGCGTTCCTGTCAGCGGCAAAATACTGTTGCAAGCCCGAGCAGAGGAAGTGCTGACCATTGGTAAACGATTCGTAGATATCGCAACTTATAATGGTCACCTTCGCCGCTTGTCAAATGAAAGTGACGAGGAAGTAATGCAGAGTTTATTTGAGGCTCTGGCTGGGTTGATAAGTGAGCGCCAAGATGAGTGTTTTCAAGCTCTCGTTACTGAGCTGAAATATGAACATGTGGTTGATCGCCTTCATGGAGGTAAAGTATGCATTTTGCCAAAATACTAATCTGAAAGATGATCGCATTTGCAGGGGTCTGTAAGCCAAAAAAGACCTCATAGTAAGTTTATTTATTTATTTATTTTTTTTATTTTTTTTAAAATAATTTTTAACAATATCTACATTACCTTTACAATACGTACAAATAATACTTACAATACACTAAAATATAACAAAAGAAAAGAAAAATACAGTTACATTCACTACTATAACTTGCAAAAAGTTGCGTTATATCCTGCAAAGTACAAAGAGAAGTAATATACAGCTCTAAGTTACAAACTTCTTGTCAATTAAAGGTTTCCATTTGTTGTAGTAACGTTCAGGTGAATTAGTCCTTGTTGATATTTGCTTTTCGATTTCGGCCTTGTTTTTCACTATTGTTAGATAAGTACTAAAATACAAAGGTTCTTCATTAATGCTACAACAGTATACATAGTATTTCGCAATTAGTAAGAGGTGATTAGTT